TTCAGCTCTCTGGGAGGCTGGTAAAGCTGTCATCCCCATATCCCAGGTGAGGAAACGGGCGCAGGGAAGTTGAGTGACTTGCCCAGGATCACACTGGTAGGAAGGGGCAGAGCTGAGATTTGAACACAAATTCAAATTTGGCTCCAGAGTTTGAGCTTTTAAGAACCTGAGGCTCAGCCCGATGAAAGCCCAGCGTGGGATTCCAACCCACACATCCTGACTCGGCGCCCCAGGGCATTCCTCGTCTTCACAGTCCCCACCCACACTGAGTCGGGGAGTGGAGCTGGCTGTGGGGCGTGGAAGTTGGACCTGCAAGGTGACACGGGTGACCTCGTGCCGGCCGAGAACACTCTGGCCTGGATTGCCACCTTTGAACCATTGCCTACATGGCAGATCTCCTTGGACTCCCTCATTCCCTCCTGAATTCCCTAAGTTCCCTAGGAATACAGGAGAGTTGGGGACTGTTTTCTGGGCTGTTATCAAAGCCATCCTATATAATGAAAGGCTAATATGCAAATAGACCAAACAACAGAACAACTGGTCACTATGATGTGTGCTGACCCTGCTCCCTCCACCGCACCCCGGGGTGCGTGCGAGGAACATGGTGGGCGTCGGCCGCAGCAGAATGGTGGAGCAGATGAGCGGGGGTGCCAGACCAAGGCGGGGTGCTGGTCACTGTCATTGGAGCGAGCCTCTAGTGGTTACAGAAAATTCTTTGCTCCCGAGCGCCACAGTCCCACCTGGCACTCGCACCTGCTGCTGGTGCTGGCCCTGCTTGCACCTGTTGCTGGCGCTGGAGCCACCTCTTGCACCTGCTGCCAGTGCCTGGCACTGGTCCTGATTGCTCCTGAGGGCTTCTCCCCCTCCCCCTGCTCCTGAGAGGTGATCAGGGCAGCAGCCGCTGCTCCCACTCGCTGACAGCGCTGTCCCCGCTTGCACCCACTGCTGGTTCCGGCCCCAATCACTCTGTACCATCAGCGGATGCGAGTGGGGTGGTGGTGGAAGCAGGGCTACAGGCAGACAGAGGACGGGGCCACGGTGGGAGGCGCCAAGACCCGCCCCCTGTGCTCACTACAGCCTCACAGCCCACAGTTGGTTTCAAGGTGCATGAATTCGTGCACTGGGCCCCTAGTTTTTAATGAAAAGCAAGCAAACCAACCCCTCCTCCCTGCCCAGCTCTCTTCACTGGAGACTAAAGAAAGCCATGTTAAATTGCGAATAAAAGGGAGGCTTCACATCACAGGGGTGGTGACCCTTGTCAGTATCTTGAGGCTCTGCAGATAGCGGGCATTGTGGAGTTGGAATGTTCTGGCTCTTCCCCACCACTGGGTACTCAGCAAGCACTCTGCATGGTGAAGGAGGAAAGAAGGAAGAGAGGGCGTTAGGGAGGGAGTGACTGAATGAGGGAGGTGATGAGTCTGCTGCCGAGCTGGGTCAGGGGTCTGGAGGAGCACTGAGTATCTGTCCAGTGGTGCTGGAAAGGTCCCTCTGTCCTCCTGTCTCCCATCCAGGGGTCAAGGGTCAGTCTACACTGGACACTGGGCTGGTAGGGACCTGCTGGCAGCTCAGTGGGAGGCTGGGTATCCCTGCTCAGCATGAGTTCTAGCCTGACTCAGGTGGGGCCCAGGAACTTTATTTACTGTGGGAACAGCTCCGCTGTTTGTCCAGTTCCTCTGAGAAGCCCTGTGCTGGTGGTGCTGCTGACATGAACCCACAGACCTACATGCTGTTCCCCATACCCTGTGGCGACCCACTGCTTCACCTTGAACCCGAGGAAGCTGGAGGTGCGCCTCCCCACCCCCAACCTCCAGCCGCATTAGGGGATCTGTTCAGATATGGGGAGGTTTAGGGTACAACATTTGATCACCCTGGATTAGTTTATCTTCACCCCGTTGCTCTCATATAACCTTGGACCAGGTGTTCCCCATCTCTGGGTGTCCCTGAGGTCCCCACCAGCCTTGACATCCTAGGGGTCTGGATGTTTGTGAAGGGTTTGTGCATCACCTTGAGGTTGGTCCTGACAATGAACGGCAGGGGTCATCTGATTGAGGAGCCCCCCCCACCCCCCGTGTGGGGTTGGAAGGACCTACATGCTGTTCCCCATACCCCGTGGCGACCCACTGCTTCACCTTGAACCCACGGAAGCTGGAGGTGCGCCTCCCCACCCCCAAACTCCAGCCGCATTAGGGGATCTAGTTCAGATATGGGGATGTTTAGGGTACAACATTTGATCACCCTGGATTCGTTTATCTTCACCCCGTTGCTCTCATATAACCTTGGACCAGGTGTTCCCCATCTCTGGGTGTCCCTGAGGTCCCCACCAGCCTTGACATCCTAGGGGTCTGGATGTTTGTGAAGGGTTTGTGCATCACCTTGAGGTTGGTCCTGACAATGAACGGCAGGGGTCATCTGATTGAGGAGCCCCCCCCACCCCCCGTGTGGGGTTGGAAGGGAGAACCATAGACATAAAATGACATGCCCATTATATGTAGGAGTGCAAAAACTACTGAAAGAATGAGTGACAGTGGGAGCTCAGAAGCAGGCTGAAGTGGTCCCAGAAGGCTTCCTGGAGGAAGAGGCAAGGCTCAGACACAGCTTCAGCCTATTTAGGAGCCACATTTGAACCCCAGTCTCAGCCATGGGCAGATACCCTTAGCGTTCTTAGTCTGTCCTGGAGGACTCTTTATCTTTTAAAACCCAGCTTGGCCATCATTTCCCATTCCAGTTCCCATCCTGCCTGCTCCCAGAATTAATGGCATTTCCTTAGGATGTTTTCCTGACTTCAGTTGTTCCCTCCACAGGATTAGCATGTGTCAGGTGCTGAGTACACTGGGATGAACCCAGGCTGTCGTGTGGAGCTACAGCTAATGAGGGAGACCAAGTGAAACGGTAGTCAAAGAAATACAGAAGGAAAATCTGTGCTAAGTGCTGTGAGTAATAACAGTAGGATGAGTGTCACATCAGTGCTAGCTATGTGCCAAGCATGCCTGAACTCAGTCATTCCTTATAACAGCTCGGCAGTAGGTAATAGCTTTGTGCCAGTATTAAAGATGAAACGGAGACAGAGAGGTTAAGTAACTTGCCCAAGGTCACACAGCCAGTAAGTGGCACTGCTGAGATTAAACTCGGGCTGTCTGGAGAACAGAGAACAGGAGAGAATAATGAGAGAGGGCAGGAGCTCTCTGAGCAGGTGATAACTGGGTGAAACCTTGCAGTTGAGAAGGAGGCAGCTGTGGGAGGAACTGGGGGAAGAGCATTCCAGGCAGAGGGAACAGCATTCATCTGCAGGCTCCAAGCGGGGAGGGGGGGATGGAGCTTGGTGCATCTGAGCAGCTGAATGAGGCCAGTGAGGCTTGGAGTGGAGTGAGTGAGGGCAGCGCAGCTGGAGGGGCTGAGACGCGGCTGTCGCGTAGCAGGCTGGGAGGCTAGGCCCTGTTTTGAGGTCTGGAATACCCTGGGTTGTATAGTCCTGCTCACCAGACCGTGCGCTCCTTGAGGACTCCCTGGCCCCCCCAGGCTTGGTGCCACGGTACGCAGTCCTTGCACACCGGGCTCAGGGACCAAGGCAGCCCATCCTCACGGTTCTCCTCTGAATGGCCAGCACCCTATGGGTCCCAGCCGCCGTCCCATCCACCCCTGCTGCTCACAATACGTAGTTGGGCAAGAAGTGAGATGATGTGCTTGGGCTTGCATGGCTGGCGAGGGACTCAGAACCTCTACCAATGAGGCTGGGACCCTTTTCCAGCTCCTGTCTTGACCAGAGAGGCATCCGGGACCTCTGTACTCCAAATGTGGTTTCACTGTCTGTCATCCTCAGACCCACCCACCATCCTAGCCTCCTCTGCCACCTTCACACACTGACAGTGCAGATCCAGGGCTGCCCACCTTCCACCACCTCACGCACACCAGGGCCCAGGGAGGTGCTCCACTGCCTTCACCTGTGCCTGGTCTGGCGGGGCCCAGCTGGCATCCCTGGTGCCCCTGGGTGGCGGGGTTCACCACCACTCTGCTCACAGTGCAAGTGCCCGGAGACCTGCCTTGGAGACACTAACGCACTTCACTCTGGGCCTCCGTTTCCTCATCTGTGAGCCGGTCTTCCTGCAGATCTTCCTAGGTCATTGGTGACATGACAGACTTTGGAGGATTGTAGAACTTGGCACATAATGGGCCTGGTGAACACTGTATTGGCTCTTTTCATCTCATCGGGACCAGTTTCCTCAGTGGGAGGGTAACAGGGTCGGCTGGTCAGCTGAGAAGGTGAGAGCTGCCTCTTGTGGAGTACCTGCTGAGTGTCAGGCATGTTTAAAACTTCCCACTGCTCTGCCCGCCTGCTGGTATTTTTTTCTTCTTATTAATACAGTATTTATTTGTCTTCCTTCTGTCAAACCCTGAGCCAACCACTTTCCCCAGGCTGCCTAGGGAGGTATAGGAAAAGGAACATACAGGGCAGACAAGACCCGGGAAAAAGAACTATGGGAGGTGGAGACAGCTCCTTCACATGGCGAAGAGGATGAGAAAGGCCACCATCAGGCAAAAGAGCCCCATGGCCTCTGAGAGGGCAAAGCCCAGAATGGCGTAGAAGAGCTGCTGCTTCAGAGAAGACTTCCTGGCATAACCAATGATGAGGCTCCCAAACACAGTCCCAATTCCAGCCCCAGAGCCTGCCACCCCTACTGTGGCAGCCCCAGCCCCAATGAACTTGGCTGCTGTGTCGATGTCCCTTGAAATGGCACTGGTTTGGAAGCTGCGGCTAGAAATAAGCGAGGTCAGGGGATGTGGGGCTGCCAAGCTGCTGAGGCTCTCATCTGTCAGTGTCTCTGGTCGGTTCAGCACCGCTGCAGACAGTGACGGCTCAGCCGAGAGGTGCTCCGGACCAAGGAGGGGGTGGAGACAAACTTGGTGCAGGCAGACATTTTCAGGGGATGAGGGGAGCGGCTCCCAGTGCAGAGAAGACAGAGACCCGCCTGCTAGTATTCATCTGGCTGTACAGACAAGAACACCAAGGCCCTGGCATGGAGTCGCTTTGAGCCAGTTAGAGAATCCCAGGTCTGACCCCGAGCTGCCGCTGAGCGGGGCGCCGGGGCTGTGGCTCTTGCCCTGGGCCGACCTGGCTGCCCTGTGGCCACCGTGTCCTGTGGCTCCAGGGGCAGATGGTGCTGGCGGGCGGCT